GGCGCAAGACCCCACCTGTTAGGCCGGCTGAACTACTGCAGCCAATTGACCCCCCAATGAAGCCCTTTCAGCAAATCGGTATGGACCTGCTTGGTCCGTTTCCGACGTCATCCAACACGAACAAGTGGGTAGTGGTGGCTACGGACTACCTGACGCGCTACGTCGAAACGAAAGCGTTACCGTCAGGGAGTGCACTAAAGGTCGCAAGATTTTTTGTGAGGAACATCGTTCTCCGTCATGGTGCACCTGAGGTCCTTATTACCGACAGGAAAACGGCGTTCACTGCAGAGCTCACACAACAGATATTGCGTTTCAGCCACACCTGTCATCGCCGTACGACAGCCTACCACCCCCAGACAAATGGCCTCACGGAACGTTCCAACAAGACACTTGCCAATATGCTCGCTATATACGTGGACGTCGAGCACAAGTCGTGGGACGAAGTTCTACCCTACGTTACGTTCGCGTATAATACGGCGCAGCAGGAGACAACCCATGTGACGCCTTTCAAACTTGTTCGTGGCCGAGACGCTACGACTATGCTAGACGCCATGCTACCACCTGTCGTTGATGAGAAAATTGACGAAGATGTTGCCGGATTTCTACAACGTGTAGAGGGAGCCCGCCAGCTTGCCCGAACACTCATAAAGAAGCAGCAACACGCCGATGCCCGACACTACAACTTGCGACGCTGCGAGCAGGATTTCGCACCTGGTGATCGTGTAATGGTACGGACACCGATTTGCCATCGCGGTCTCAGCGAGAAGCTCCTCCATCGTTACTTTGGACCTTATGAGATCACACAGCGTCTGGGGCCGCTCACGTATGAAGTTGTTCCTGATGGGGATACGCAATCTCAACGACGCCGGGCGCGCCCTGAAGTCGTGCATGTCGTGCACATGAAAAAGTTTTTCCAGTGTTAGCGGACTCATGGACTATCTTTTGTGATGTGTATGTTTTTTCCTACACCGATTGTTAAGAAAGCTCCCAGTTTCATTTGTATTCACTACATTGTAGCATCGGGGCGATGCTCTTTGGTGGGGGAGCACTGCCACATGCATTTATGTTGGTGCCCACTTCGTCGGCGCAGCACTGTCCTCAGCTTATCTACAGTGTGGCGTCGGTAACGCGTCGTTCTGTCGCCTGTGCGCTGGGCATGCTTTTGATAAGCAGTGGGACCACGTGACAATCTGATGCGTACCGGCAAAGAGTGCACGGGTATTCCTTCCACCGATGCTGAACCGGGCAGGCCGTTTCGAGGCCACCGGCAGCTTTTTCACGCAATTCTTTTATGGGCACAAGTTCGCTCAAATAAAGTTTATTTCTTTTCAAGTCGCCTCGTCTCTGTGCTTACGGGCCACGACCGCCACGTAAGTGTGACAATATTGATGGTCTTCTGCACTATGTACAATTTGCAGTGCTCAGTTCGTGCACCCAGGGCCTCCACCACTTGTGACTTAGAACGCTACATGCCTTTAATACACCTTGAAGAGGTGGGGAACCAGTCGCATTAGAGGCACGGAACAATATCTAGATCCACTAGTGATGAAGATGAAGCACACGATGTGATGATAGTCACGTACAGTTGATAAAGTGTCTCATAATACCCGCAATACACTTTCATGTACATTTAATACCTTCTGCCTTAACGTGCCTGATCGGTTGACTGAGGTTAAGATCAGTTGACTGATTGAATGATTTGGTTGAGAATACACAATGGCTGTGACACTGGAAACGAAATGCATTGTTTAGGGTCACCCCACCAGGCCTCCTACACCACACCATACATTTTTTTTTACCATGGCAACTTAAGAAAGGAAAAAGAACAGGAAAATAGCATTTGCAAACAGCTGGCAATACAATTACACCTTAAAATAGTGAAAAGGTGAAAAGGTGGGCTTGTGTAAATAGCAAATTTCAGGTTTGAAGTGAATTCGAAGTGAAGAGTGATTTTTATAGAATCATTTCGAATTTGAATAGTACATATACATCATATTAAAAAGAAAATGGCTGCATTTGTCATGACCTAACTGCACAATAGTCTTTTTAAATTGAAAGAAAGCCTGTGCAACCTTCACTTTTATTAAAAATGGCAACAACTTTGAATAGTAGCAGGATTTTAGTTTCCGTAGAATACAAGTGATAACCTGTAAAATATGTCACATTCTAAAATTTACTGTACTTTGAGAATACTATAAGCCTGTATAACAACCTTTTAAACTTAAAAGGATGATGAATTGATATGAAGGTAGTATGTACAGGGGGGGGGGTCTAAAGTGCTCAGGCCATGCTCCCTTAGGAATGCATGGGATAGTGGCCTGGGAACTTTTTACTACCCCTGTACATTTAACTTTGAAATAGAGCTTCACGGCAAAGTAAATTTCTCCTGAATTTGTGTTTGCACAGCTTAGCTTTCTTACACAGCAGTGAAACCACCTTTACAAGAATAACTTAAATTTAAATCGAAGCAAATTCGAACACTGTAATATTCGATGAATAGTGGAAGCATTTCCATATTCGCATAACCTTATGAAAAAAAGAGAAAAGGACAGCATAAAATGCATGTGCTCTAAAATAAAAAAAAGAAAAGGAAACAATGAAACAAGATGCGGTTAGTACCCGCCATAGTGGTCCACTAGTTATTGTGCTTGACTGGTGACCCAAAGGTCGTGGGATCGAATCTCGGCCACAGCACCACATTTTTAATGGAAGCCGAAATGTCTGGGACCTATGTGCTTAGATTTCAGTGGACGTTAACCTTTTACTACCAAGTGTCGTGAAGTCGCGACAATACCGAAAAACTTCGAGCAAGAAAGTCACAAAGTGCGTGCCTCATTTAAGTATCGACTGTCAAGCACTCACGGAAAACGTAGCTTTCAGCACAAAAAAATCTAACTTGTCTCGTCTAAGGTATTCTGCACTTGAACCGATTCCTTTGAAACTTATGGCAGAGAACGCGAAGTGCGTGCCACAGGTCTCACTTCTTTGTTCTTTCCTGCCAGTGTGACATAAACTCTATCTTCAATAGTTTTCTTTATTTGGTGTGTACAAAACGAACAGATATTACACGACATGTTACATAATTCTGAAGTACATTTTTCGTTGCAGGGTCCTGGCTTCTGTGGCATATAGAAAATTCATGACAGAAATAAAGGTATGCATTAAAGTTACAATTTATATAATTTAACTGCATAATCATTCAAAGAATGGTATTTAAAGCCTTAAAGTGAAAATAATTTTCATTTTGTTGAGCAGTTTCATAATTCAGGCATTAAAGTGTTCAAGAACCCTAGGTGCTCGAAATTTCTAAAGTCTGCACTAAAAAGATCCCTCCTGATCACAGTGTGGTTCTGGAACATCGAACCCCTCTTATTATTATTAACCCTTTGATGGTCATGTATGTCAGTCCAAACGGGCACAGGTCGCATATGTAGATCATTACATGTACGTTTTAAGAGTGCCTTTTTCGATCATTCCTCTTGCTTGGCATGTATTACCACACTTTGGGAATATGTGAAGTTATTTTCATGTACCAATGTCTCTTCTTTACATTTCTTTATCCTCTTTTTAAAGCAGTGCACTGGATTTCGCTTGTGCATTTGAGCACACGCACAGCACAGAGCTTTCTGAAATTAACTAGAGGGAAATCTGGCACTGCGATCGTTCTGCGACCATGCGAATGATGGGCAGTACATGAATTTGCCTAGTCTTCGTAGTTGCGGGCGGCGAATTGCACTTGTGGATTCATTTATTGCTGTGTTTTGGTTTGGTTTTGAAGAAATGGATGAATCCTTTTGAACTTCGTGACCCGATTTGAAATGGTAAGCCTAAAAGAATAAAATGGTGAACCTCAACCACTGAACATTTCCTGATTTTGGTTTGTGAGAAAACAGCTCCAAGTCACTCGAACGCAGACATAGTCAGAAGTACGAAGATTAGACAAATCCATGCACTACTTATCATTCCCATGCTTGCTGAAGCGCAGTGCGTTGCAGATCCCATAGACACTAGCGCCAGAGTTCTCTCTAGTGTATATTTAGGAAACTCTATGACGCATGGTGCAGCTGATTTCAGTTTTGTCCTTTGTTAGGTTATCGCTTCTCGTGCCATTGACGGCTGTCTGGTTTCTAATCTATCAAAGGGTGACCACTTGCTACTCTCTCATTTATTACTCTCTAAGACACGATTACATCTGTTTCAGTGTGACGTGAAATTACACGAACGATGCTGCCGTGGTTGCTTGTCCCGTTTTGGGGACATGATAAAAACCAATCTCGTTGGAAATAAGATGAAAGATTATTATAGCTCTTTCACTGATTTTGCTTTCCAGACGAACACACCAGCATTCAGTTTTCTTCCGTGTTCTAACTGACGCAGTTCACTTGCACTATGGAAGTATGCGCCAGACACTTCATGGGAAGTTGCCACCCACCGACGCTAAGGGAAGAAGAAAGAAAATTAAGAAGTGAGAAAAGATGCTATGTCTGTGCCAACACTGCTCGGCAACAGGAGCTGCACAAAGAAACATGCTGCATGTGTGTTGAGTGCGGCAAATCACTCCGTGTGAAACTGTGCTTCAAATATTGAACGCTAAAAAGTTTTTATAGTTAGTCCAAAAACATTTTTTTACTGCAAAAGTACTCTGGTGTGTTTATTCTTGTATGCCTATGAGCTGTGCTTATTACAACGCATAACTTTTATTTTAAAAAAATCGTATAACCACTTTTTGAAAGATTTTTCTTTACATTATTTACAAATAACACATGTGTATGTAACAATACAAATGATTTTTCATCACTTATGGTCAACCAAAAAACTTTCACACCAATTGTGTTCTGAAATAGATCCATCTCAAGAATTTAATTCAACTATAAAAAAAAATATGCATTTTTGGGATGCACTTCGTGAACAAGATCAATCGTCAAAAATTGAGATACAGTTAGTGATGATATACAGAGCAATATGGCTGGTAAGTTTCACCTTCTGACATGCAAACTTACCTTTCTGGGATTTTGCTGCAATTGTCCCTGGCTGCTGTGAAAGACTGGCAGTTCTTCCAGCGACAGAAGCCGAGGACTGAACCGTCACGGGTCTAAACTTGGGCAGGCCTTCAGTCAGCAGGTCAGTGCCACCCTTGTCGGCCGGCTTCCCCGAGATCTTGTCCACAACCCTCGCTATACTGTCGGTCACTTGTTCTGTCAGTGTCTCTGAATGAGAGGCAGTGGCCTGTTAGAATGCATCGCCGATATAGTGTCTTGCTGTGGGCACAGCTATCTAAACACAATATGTATTTCAACACAAGTTGGTGTGTACTACATCATAGAAGAATCATAGCGAATGGAAACCTACTGTTGAATGCTCTGACTAAGCAATCATAACATATGGCCCTTCATGCAAAAATTGTGACATCACTTAATATGGTGAGAAATTCATGCCCCATTTATACTGCAGCATACTACACATAATAGGGATGTTGATCTAACTTCCACAATGCTGCAAAGCCAGATGTTTAGTTCGGTTGTTTGCATACTGTTAAAAATTATGAACAATGTACCCAAGAAACCTGAATCTTTTTTACACAATTTGTAAAGCTTATTTTCCCAATAAAATGATACCACTCACTTTATCAATGTTGCTTTATTGTTCAAGGCACTTCAATGACCTGGCTGAAGGAGCCTTCTCTGCAAGACACCCATAATTTTATGACATCTCAAAGGTAGAAGCATCATGTTCCACATTCTAGCAAAACCTTAAAAAGCTGTCAACTGACCAGGACTCGATAAGAATAATTGACTTATTTTATATTTATTTAACAATACTGCAGTCTTTATCATACCCCTGTCACATGGGCACCCGGGAAGACCGTTTAACTCCCTCGTCCTTATGACAACGAAGATGCGGTCCGTGTCACACGGCCACCCTTACGCAAACGAAGGTAAACGGAGCATTTCGCAAAGGTCGTTCAACGATCTCCCTTCGCAGCGAAACGAGGTACTCTCGTCCCCAGCAGTCTAGAGGTCAGAGAAAAATTTCGAGCAGTAAGCGGCCGCAGTGAAAGAATAATTCATTTTGGCAATATTAAAAGTTCTTTCTTTGTAGTGTTCATTCACAACGCGTGTTTGTTTACAAATATTTATGCCCGTCAGAGTTCACTTACTCTCAACACCGATGCCTCGCGAGGCGGGCCGGCCGGCGCCAGCCGATCAACGTCATTACCAGCGCAATATCGTATCACTTCCTCACGTCATCCACTGTGTCACTCATGGCTGAAGAACACAAAATGTGCGCTCACGAGGCAAGGAAGCATAAGAACTTTCGTACCGGGCAAGTACACAGGCAACAAAACAACTAAAAGCACAATGTGGTCAGCGTCACTAGCAGCATAGCTACATTAAGCAAATGCGTTTTTATTTGAAATTATTTTTAATGGTTTGTTAGTCGCATACCTACTTAATAGTGCTTTTTTATAAAAAAACCACATAACCAGGACTCACAAAAAAATCAGTAGAGAAGAAATTAGAATACTTTTACGAAAATCAAACAGCGCCAGCTGAGCCCCCTCGCAGCAACTGTTACAACCTTGTCATTGCCGTTTGACACTGCCACAACTCCTTCTCCATCGAACCCCCTAGGGGACATATACGTTGACGGTGTTCAACGGAGTTTGGTGGTGGCCGTGTGACAGGGGTATAAGGCCCAGGAAGGAGGGAAAAAATGGAAACGAAATGTGTGAAGCATGTAGAGAATCAAGAACAATGTACAAAGAGGATCCATGCAAAGTGAATCTGTGAACTTGAAAAGGAGCCATCTTGCTAGGAAGCGCAGCCACTATTACAAAGAACACACAACACAAGCGCTTAGCTTCAACTAAACGTTTATTACAAACGTCAGAGTTTATAAAGGGGATGAAAAGAGAAAAAGAATAAAAAAATGAATGAAAAAGATAAAAATGGGAGACAACAAAAAGCACACATGCCAGTCCCGTACATTACTATCCGTTATTGTCTATCACCCCATCCAAAAAACATAGTTCTTTCCGCGTGAGCGAGATAGAGGGTGCACTAACACAGTCAAAATCATCGCGTGTCATTTCAGCTGCTTCTACTATCAAACGGGTTAACAAATCTCTATCTCGATACAGCACGCACGTGTTATCGAAATAAGGCACACAACCGCACTCCTTACAGTGGATCGCCAAGTGACCATCGGTACCCTTCTGCACTTTATTGTGGTGCTCTTTTAGCCTTTCATTAATGCATCTTTCGGTTGTTCCCACATAAACAAGACCACAAGACAAGGGCACTCTGTAAACAACCGACTGTGCACACTCAACGTATTTATTGCGATGCTTAATTTGGCAACCTTTCTTTTCTTTTGAAACAGGACAAGTTTGGCGACATATTCTGGACAGTTTTTCAGGAGCAGACATAACCACTCGGACGCCCACCTTATTACCAATCTTTTTAAGATTGTGTGCCACACTGTGGATGCAGGCGACAACAGCTGTTTTACGCTGCTGCAGGGAAGTGTTAATACGCTGCCTATTTTGTTTCTTTAGGTCCCTATGTAGCGATTCAGCAACGCTTATAACCATTCGTTGCGGGTAGCCTGCTGCCTTCAGTCGCAAAACCTGTTGCTCAAAGCTCTTCTTCATGAGGTGAAAACATGACTTCTTCAACGAATTAAATAGGCACATTCGTGCAACAGACCTCTTCACTACTTTGGTATGGGCAGAAGAGAAAGGCAACAATGACTTTTTGCTCCTGGGCTCATAATGCCAACAAACGTGGTCATCTTGAAATTGCAACGACAGATCTAGAAACCTGAGCGTATCACCATAGGGCACTTCATGTGTAAGTTTCAGAGGCTGACAAACTGTCTCAAATACTCCAAGTGTCAAAACAGCAACACTTTGAAACTCTTTGGCATCACACTTCAAAAAAAAACCAAATAATCACCCACAAACCTGAAGATCTCTAAAACCTTAGTTCCCGACAACCTCTCATCAATTAATTGATCTAAGTGGGCCATAAAAATATCACTAAGGACGGGTACAATAGCCAAACAAATACAAATACCCTGTTTTTGGATATAGGTGCTCCTATTCCAATTAACGAATGTGGACGTTAAGTACAAAGCCAGTAAATCCAGAAAACCTCTCACTGACATACCACAAGTGCTCTGAAAGGTCACTGCACCATGCTCAAATATGCACTGCTCAACAAATTCTAGAAGCATTTCATGAGGTAAAGAATAGTATAAATCTTTCACATCTATGGACAACGCCTTAACGACAGTTTTGGCATTCGATACGAAAAAATTCACAATCTGCTCAGAATTCTTAGTGTGAAATGGGTCATTACTTTAAGGAGATTCAGCTTTTCCTGTAGAAAAAACTCCACATTTTTTTGCCAAAAACCTTGTTCCGAAATAATTACCCGGAACGGCATTCCATCTTTGTGCGTCTTGCAACTAAAAAACATGTCTAAGCCCAGTTTATCTGTTTTCATGATCTGTTTAGCCAAATCATGCAATAGAAGGCTGTTGCACAAGTTTTTTGCAGCTGTTCGAACAGATTTGAGTGACACATTTGGCTTAATATCAAATACCAACTCAATCGCCACTTGCGCTTTTTGAAAAAAAAAAAAAAAAAGAACCCTTCGGGAAAACACAGAACCCACCTTCTTTGTCAGAAGAAATGACACAAAGTCCCGATTCTTAGAGGTATGTGACCACCTTCCTTATGGGCAACACTTGACGCTTGGGCCTGAACTTTTCAAGCACATCAACGCCCTCGGAGATACACCGATCCTTTTCACAATCCGGAGCACAACCAGAAAGCTGTCTCACAAGAGACAGGAGCTTAGGCGCTTCAAGTCTTGGTTCAACAGCGTACTTGGGACCTCGTCTTAACGTCTCTTTCACATATTCAGGAAAAACGACGTCATCCGTGGTGTGAATAATGTTGTCCTCAGCAGGTTTCTTCGGTTGGCGCTTGGACCTGAGCTGCGACAGTATTGTTGACCAAAGGCGTTCCGTTTCGCAGGTCACAAGGCCCCCCAATTCACGCCATTTTTTCTTCAATAAGGTCGTTCTTCCTGAATATGTGAAAGAGACGTTAAGACGAGGTCCCAAGTACGCTGTTGAACCAAGACTTGAAGCGCCTAAGCTCCTGTCTCTTGTGAGACAACTTTCTGGTCGTGCTCCGGATTGTGAAAAGGATCAGTGTATTTCCGAGGGTGTTGATGTGCTTGAAAAGTTCAGGCCCCAGCGTCAAGTGTTGCCCATAAGGAAGGTGGTCACATACCTCAAAGAATCGGGACTTTGTGTCATTTCTTCTGACAAAGAAGGTGGGTTCTGTGTTTTCCCGAATGGTTCTTTTTTTTTTTTTTCAAAAAGCGCAAGTGGCGATTGAGTCGGTATTTGATATTAAGCCAAAAGTGTCACTCAAATCTGTTCGAACAGCTGCAAAAAACTTGTGCAACAGCCTTCTATTGCATGATTTGGCTAAACAGATCATGAAAACAGATAAACTGGGCTTAGACATGTTTTTTAGTTGCAAGACGCACAAAGATGGAATGCCGTTCCGGGTAATTATTTCGGAACAAGGTTCTTTGCAAAAAAATGTCGCGTTTTTTCTACAGGAAAAGCTGAATCTCCTTCAAATTAATGACCCATTTTACACTAAGAATTCTGAGCAGATTGTGAATTTTTTCGTATCGAATGCCAAAACTGTCGTTAAGGCGTTGTCCATAGATGTGAAAGATTTGTACTATTCTTTACCTCATGAAATGCTTCTAGAATTTGTTGAGCAGTGCATACTTGAGCATGGTGCAGTGACCTTTCAGAACACTTGTGGTATGTCAGTGAGAGGTTTTCTGGATTTACTGGCTTTGTACTTAACGTCCACATTCGTTAATTGGAATGGGAGCACCTATATCCAAAAACAGGGTATTTGTATTGGTTCGGCTATTGCACCCGTTCTTAGTGATATTTTTATGGCCCACTTAGATCGATTAATTGATGAGAGGCTGTCGGGAACTAAGGTTTTAAAGATCTTCAGTTTTGTGGATGATTATTTGGTTTTTTTGAAGTGTGATGCCAAAGAGTTTCAAAGTGCTGCTGTTTTGACACTTGGAGTACTTGAGACAGTTTATCAGCCTCTGAAACTTACACATGAAGTGCCCTATGGTGATACGCTCAGGTTTCTAGATCGGTCGTTGCAATTTCAAGATGACCACGTTTGTTGGCTTTATGAGCCCAGGAGCAAAAAGTCATTGTTGCCTTTCTCTTCTGCCCATACCAAAGTAGTGAAGAGGTCTGTTGCACGAATGTGCCTTTTTAATTCGTTGAAGAAGTCATGTTTTCACCTCATGAAGAAGAGCTTTGAGCAACAGGTTTTGCGACTGAAGGCAGCAGGCTACCCGCAACGAATGGTTATAAGCGTCGCTGAATCGCTACATAGGGACCTAAAGAAATAAAATACGCAGCGTATTAACACTTCCCTGCAGCAGCGTAAAATGGCTGTTGTCCCCTGTATCCATAGTGTGGCACGCAATCTTAAAAAGATTGGTAATAAGGTGGGCGTCCGAGTGGTTATGTCTGCTCCTGAAAAACTGTCCAGTATATGTCGCCAAACTTGTCCTGTTTCAAAAGAAAAGAAAGGTTGCCAAATTAAGCATCGCAATAAATACGTTGAGTGTGCACAGTCGGTTGTTTACAGAGTGCCCTTGTCATGTGGTCTTGTTTATGTGGGAACAACCGAAAGATGCATTAATGAAAGGCTAAAAGAGCACCACAATAAAGTGCAGAAGGGTACCGATGGTCACTTGGCGATCCACTGTAAGGAGTGCGGTTGTGTGCCTTATTTCGATAACACGTGCGTGCTGTATCGAAACAGAGATTTGTTAACCCGTTTCATAGTAGAAGCGGCTGAAATGACACGCGATGATTTTGACTCTGTTAGTGCACCCTCTATCTCGCTCACGCGGAAAGAACTATGTTTTTTGGATGGCGTGATAGACAATAACAGATAGTAATGTACAGGACTGGCACGTATGCTTTTTGTTGTCTCCCATTTTTACCTTTTTCATTCATTTTTTTATTCTTTTTCTCTTTTCATCCCCTTTATAAACTCTGACGTTTGCAATAAACGTTTAGTTGAAGTTAAGCGCTTGTGTTGTGTGTTCTTTGTGATATTGGCTGCGCTTCTTAGCAAGATGGATCCTTACCAACTGGCCTGATACAATTGTTTATTGAAAAGGAGCACTGAAAAATGCCGCACAGAGATAGAGGGCATATAATGTGAAAAGTGAGAAAACTACCTAATTAATGTTCCATAGTGTCAGCGAACAAATTTCGGAACAGAAAAGACTAAATTGAGGTAGTAATAGATTCCTCTTACACCTACTGTTATTCTTTTGATGCCTGCTTCAATAAAGCTAGCCATGCCTCGCGAGCAGATGTTAGAGAAGGTGGCCATTAAGTGAAAGGGGAGACAGAATTTAAAAATTACCTGCGATAGTCATTGGCTCTCTTTAAATGGGCCCTGCAACACTTTTTGAGAGTGGCCAGAAAATGCTGCCAATCGGTAGTCGAGGCTCCCGAGAGCACGCGTGCCACCAAATACTATTATAGTGCAGCATGCGGCACGGAATTTACAACAGCTTCTCAATATCGGCTAAAAATTGCTTTCCATTTTGTCAACAAATGATGCTACAGGCTCACAAATTACTATGTTCCAGGCCAAGTATCAGCCATTGGCTGACTTGACCATGGCACACTCGGTCATTACTGGGGCTGCTACAGGAGGCCGTGAGTTGTCCACAGGTGCAAGCGCAAAGTGCTCAAGGTCATGAGGCGCACGTGCTTCTCTTCCAGCCCTTTTGTCCAGACGAGAGAAGAGAGATTGCGATCGTAGCGTGAGACAAACCTTTGTAACTCCACTCATACTGAACGAATTCTGAAAATATTTGTGGTGGTGAATTTGTGAGGCAATAGGCTTCTTCAGTGAATCCATTCTATGGCTGCTTAGAAAACTGTTGCACGAAGTTTCTAAGAAGAATATTTGTTAATGATGACTGTACTCATCATTAACTACATTGGAACAAAATATTGTGCGAAGCTATGAGCGGTACAGAGAGGGTTATGCTGCAAAAAAAGTCCCAGCAAAGTGATGTTGAAGAAAGGAACACGTGGAATCTTGTACAAAATATTATAGATCTCCACTGCAATAGTCCTTAAAAAAACCTTAAGCGCCAAAGTGTTCATTTAGGCTCGTTGGCTTGTATTCAAAGTACATGGCTGGGACTACAAATGTATGGTTGACAATGTTTTCTTTTTATGCACATTACGTCACCTTGTGAGCATCTGAAGAACTGATTTACCATTGAAAACATTGCAGATAACACATCCTGTTTCATTCATGTGGTATCTCTCGTTGCATCTCCTGCCCTGTTGTAATAGCACTTGTCCACCACAAAAACTGCCTAGGTCAGTGAAACAGCAACCGAGGAGAAATAACCTTTATGAATAGCTTACCCTATGATGAATGAATTAGCAACAGTAAAAAGCGAGAGAAACAGCCTAATAATGAGTCTAATAAAGCATACTTGGCCCGAGCGGAGCATTTCCGAATCCCTGGTATTTCCAGTAGCACCCGCCGAAGCCCCATGCCCAGAGTACGGACCGGTTTTCTGCAGAGCATGGCACAATCGTTATTGCAGAAAGTCGGACGCATGACAGACAAACTATTTAGTATCAACTGCAAGACATGAAGTTCTGTATAAATCTGCAGCAGCATTTACTTCAACTGCCACCAGCTGATTGACTAAGGCACCTCCAAAACAACATTTTTCGAAGTTACATTATACAGAGTACACCAGACTTTTAATATCGCTGGATGCACTAATATGTTACAAGTGGCAAGCTCTTCAACGATATATTATTAAATCATTGCTCTTTGATATATGAATGAACAAGGACATAGCAAAAGGGTGGCATACTGATTGGTGCTTGTGCCTCCTACCCCCGAGAAATTTTTTTTTTGCCAAACGACCATCCTGAAGTCACTTTTTGGCCTTCCCCAAAATCAAAGAGGTGTGCTCCCTCCCCCCTTTGAAAAAATTTCTACGTGCCTCTGCATGGACATATGTATCTGCATGTCTCAAAGAGCAAGAGATAATCGGGCGATTAAGCCATCCATGACTATAGAAAGCAGTGGTGAGGAAATCTTTCTTTCAGCTAGAGGCACAGATGATGTAATTCAAACTCTCAATGAGTTATGCAAGACTAGAATCAACTGATTCTCATACCAGTGGAACAACAGCATACTCTGTATAGCTAATAGCGTACATAGTACACCATGCTTCGTACACAAGGCTATTCACAGCATGAGACGCTTGCTTCGAATACAATGAACTAAGACTACATTAGACAAGTGCTTTCTTCGGGCTAGATGGTTCATGACTTCTGAAGGGTAAAATTTTATAACTCGTAGCAACACACAGTCAGACAAAGAGCACCAGTCCCATGCTCTTTGTCCCTCTGAGTGTTGCGGTGCACTGCAAAATTTTTTCCTTTCAGGAGGACTCCTGATCGGGCCATGTGAATGTGGTTTCAGGTAGCAAGTAAAGGGCGGCACTTAGAAGATTTAAGTCGTCCTTTGTTTTAGCTCCGCGTTTCATTCACTGAGGTGAATAATGATTACGCGAGTGTCTGCATTATTTGTCCACAGAATTTAAGAAGGTATAATTACTCTGTTTTTCAACTGTAAATAAATGAAAAACTACTGACAGGATTGCTAATTGGGTACTTTGGAAAGTACTAATTGTGATGATCAGACTCCTTAATGTTAGGTTTGCAGAAAGTAATGGGTTTCTTGTGTGGTGTTATGCCTTAATCAATTCGATTGTCTTTTATCGTTATTTTGCATGCCGCTCATCATGCGTGTCCAAAGTTGAGTATGTTGCATTATAACGGCTAGCTAGCATGATAAAAAAAATTTAAGTATGCCAGAAGATCAGATAAATATACAGTTCTGGGGCTTTATGTGCTAAAAAGAAATATGTAATTATGAGACTCTCTGCAGTGAAAAACTAATTAAATTTTGTTTGATTGGTGTTCCATAATGTGTCCATAATTCAAGGTTGAAATAGATAGCAGTATTTCTCGTGCTAAAACTATGATACATATGTGGTATCATGTTTGACAGATTGACATGACCTATTTAAAGCATTACTACACTCATCATTCGGAGCAATTCACCTACCTTGCTGAGAAGGGGGAAACTGGCTAGAAGTCTGTTGACTCCCGGCACTGTCATCATGAACCTGCATGCAGCAAGTCCTTTGAGAGAAGGTTACAAAGGAGCATGTCAAGAAAATGGAAATTATCAATCTGTCAATCCTTTAACCTCCTAACTGCTTTGGACGAGCTGAGCTTGTCCTACCCAAACTGCCACCAAACTGCTTTGGACGAGTAGAACTCGTCATAGCGAAATAGGTACTCCCCTCTAGCAATTCAGGCGGAGAAGCACGCATTAACGGCTTACATTGTATGTCATCTACCAGATGGCAGCATTTTCTCAAGGATTTTTTATTTCTCTCATGCGGCAACAGCGTGGTTTTTGTAGGGAAAGATGGCGTGTTGTGGCAGTGACACATGCTTAGCTGGCCCGTGAACATGAAAAAAAAATTTTATTCAATTTTGCGATATTCTCGAAGAGACGATGATTCGAGCAAAGATACTTATTGTGTGCCCACAAGTGAAGACAGCAATGACGAGGAATTGAGTAGCTGCTCTGATGATGATGAAAAATGCTCAGACGCAAATGTTGCGAGTGCCCGCCAGTGAAGCTGCCTTGCATTATTCTGCGTTTTGAAATTTTCCACGCAGCCCCGAAGCTTCCCGAGTGAAATACCCCAAGGGTGCTCAGCCTGCAGAAGTGAAGAAAGATGTGGCATCCATAACTGTTTGTTTCATAAGGTTTTTAAATTTTATTAGCAGTAAGTAGCTGGTTTCTTATGTATTGTCCAGAAATGAACTTTATTCCATTCATTTGACTAAGTATGTGAATAAGTTATTTTTTCAACATTAACTAGCTACTTTTTAGTACAATCAGATTCGAAATTAGCAATAAAAGAGATTGGCACTTTTTTGAACGAATATTTTCAAAAAAGTGAGCAGTTAGGGGGTTAAAGAAAACGTTCTTCTGAAGTTCTGTCAGCATTTAGGCTAGAGCATCATCAAATCAATCAAAGCACAAATTTAGTGACACACCGTGTACCAAGGCCACTACGGACAATTACTTCACACCCTCCTTCTGACCCCTGCCATGCCTCCTCAACTCACTAACGATCTCAGAGCTCTCGTGAGCGCACTCAACAATTTAAGCTTCGCCCACTCATGACCTCCAAGACAGCACGCCAACAGGTTGTGCACAATCTCGGAGGCCACCACACAGTGTGCCCAGCAGCACGCACACCGTCTGGCAACTGAGACGAAGATCACGGAATGTTTGATATCTGCTTCGACAAGTGCTGCCACCCTACTAGCACTTACGTGCATTCCACACCCAATCAGATCAGCAGTCTTAGCGACATCATGCTTCCAGTATATGTCGTACTGTGAATGAGCAGTTGAAAATGGGTTTGGCTGAGCTGCAGTGATCTGCAGTGATTCGCAGCTTGAAAGCGCAATAAATTTCACAGTTTGTGCAAAGAGCTTAAATCACTCTGTAAATGACCCTTAGTACTAGGTCTACTGGCCCAATGTGTTTGTACGAAATCGTCAAAACCATTTCAGTGTCTCTTTAAAACTGCAAGGGACTGCTTGAACAGCTTCATTCAATAGCATCTTACACTAATCATTTATAGACAAAAGCTATGTTGCAGCTGCACTGCCATAATGCGAGGTAAGGCTCCCACACCTTGATGATTGCAATCTAGCCAAGATGTAGGGAATCCTTCGGTAAGCAGGTTATTTCAGCCAAAACGTTAGTAAAATAGACGCCTGAGTAGTATGAGTCTCAGTTATCTAACTGTGCCGATAAAAGACCAGTAGGCTTGTGCGAATATTCAAACGCTTTGAGTATTCAAACAAACAATAAGAGTATTTACATTCGCTTCGATTCGAATTTAAATTACTGAAAATTTCGAAGTATTCGTAATAAACAAATAGATGTATATCACTCCGCATGTAAACGCCTGTAAAAGTGGTTCCACTGCAGTGTAGGGGAGCTAAACCGTGAAAAAACCTATGCAGAGAAAATCTGCTTTGCCGTGAAGCCCCCTTCAAATTTAAAGCAGCCCCGCAGCACTTTTAGAGCAGGGTCAGAAAACGCTGCCGATCGCTAGTCGGGGCTACCAATAAGATGGGAGCTCAATACTATAAATATTATGGAGCAGCACAAGGTGTGCAATTCACAATAAATTTTCAAGGTCGGCTAAAAATTGCCTTCTTCTATTGGCAGATGACATCACAAGCTCAAAATTTACTCGTAACATCCATTATACCAGCCATTGGCTGATTTGAGCATGGCCCGATTAGTCCTCACTGGGCTTGCCGCACACTTTCGTCTTTCGTTGGGACGAAAAGAGAGATTGAAATTCCAGCATGCGACCAATCTTAGCAACTTCACTCATACTAAACAGATTCTAAAAATTTTTGCCCCATTGAATTTGTAAGGCAGTAAGCTTTTTGAATGAATGAATGAATGAATAAATTTTATTTAATATCCTTCAGATTTCTCTGAGCTTCTTAAGTGAACCAATTGCATAGCTACTTGAAAAAGTGTCATAGGGCCCCTTTATATGAACATATTACATTTAAATCAATTCATCATTTTATTAAGCTTAAAAGTTTGTAATGACAGTTTATAGGCTATAGGTATTACAAATTTTGAGATGTTATGTATTTTACAGGTCATCACTCGCATCCTACCCAAAGTCAAATACTGCTACTGCTTAACGTTGTTTTAACTTCTTTTGAACGAAAAAAAAAGTGGCATTTATATAGAGGCTCTGTTTCAACTAAAAAAATATTCTGCAGGTTAGTTAGGTAATGATAATTATTTCCATTTTTTTTTACAGTATGTCGTATATACTATGTGAATTCGATTAGAAATATTTCGACCAAGATCAATATTCGCTTCGAATTCGCCTGGAACCTAAAGTTTACACTGCATGGAGTCCTACAGAGCGTTACAGCACCGCTCACCTTCGCAAGCAAGCGGAGGCACTGGTTCTCCGAACCGCCACCGGACACATCTGCTCCGGGAAGGGCAGAAAGAAACATTCGAAAAAAATTCAGTAATTTGATTGAAGCTCAAAAGGCTAACGTTTGGTACATGCCCACAAGCGATGAGCCCACTAGCATTTGCACATTAGGCTCCAAGGTTAAAAACAATAGCACAGAGCAAAAAGACAAAAGTCATTGTAGATTAGTACAGCTATCAAGCTTGTTACACAAAACAATTTTTTTTAATTCTGTTTATCTAGATCTTACATTACAAAACAGATATTCTAACAAAATTATATATCTCTCCACACCATTAGCTTGAAACAGAACGCAAAATGATCAACCTCTCACTTATGGTACCAATGAGCCACATGTGAGATGAGAAGAACATCGATCCAAAAAAGGCGGAAGTTAAAGGAAATTGTAAGGTTGAAGAGGTGAAGTATTTGTGCTGTGTTGCAGCCCTGAAAAAGACAAGTCCACTTATCGAAACATTGGCGGTGGTGGTGGTGGTCGTCGTAGTGGCAGGGAGGTAGGCAAACTGCACTTCCATGTGCATGTATGTTCGTGTAACATGTGCGCACATTGTGTCAGATTTTCCTTCGTTAGGGTTTTACCCATTATGCCTGTCATGTAGCATGTGCTGCAAATTTAAGATCTGTCATAGCACACCACAAAAGGCCGTGACAAATCTCATGAATGTATGCAGCATGTACCACATTGTTCGTTGTGAGATGCATCGTTAGCCCACAGGACACTGATAGTGCAGACATACAGCCATAAACAGGAGGTCCAGAAGACAGATTTGTCAAATGCCTAGGGTATTCATGTCTTCGCTTCCGATGTACAGTTGATATCAATTGAATGCCACTGCAGTCAGTGGAATGTAGAATGTGGAGTTCAAATCTCGAGGGGAGCTCAGGCTTTCGAAGCATAGTCAGAAAGCAGATAGTGAAGAGTCTGGCAAAGAGAGCGATTCACAATAAAATGAAAGGAAGGACACACTCACTTGCAACCGATCGAATGGTGGCATCTTTTCTGGCTAGGATGGAACGTACAGTGGGGTGACCATTAGCCAGGACATAATGCAGGACTCTCAGGCACTGCTCAGCAGCCAGAACATAAGGAGAAATGAAAGACAATGTGTAACACGTTATTCAACTCTATTCAAGTGATTTAAAAGAAGTAAATTGGTAATATTTTCATGATAATGTAGAAGATCCTTTTGTTATGGCACCGTGCACAGCCTATAACTGTCCTATACCATAACCTACTATAACATATCCTACAACATATCCTACAGCATTGCTGCCCTAAAACATATCTACTGAAAAGCCATTATATCCATCCATTTTACAGTACAAGACAAAAGAAAATCACCAGTGATCTCCCATTCTCATTTTTACTAGCCATTATGCACATAATGATAATCTAGGTGACGACAATCTGAGACCAACTTTACTGGCAAATTAAAACATCTTACGACCATTACTTTTCCTATATGTCAGTCACTCTTCAAATAGGGCTAGTTTGCGTAGCACTTACCATCCTGTTTTCCACCCTGTCCTTTCTGCACAATGCCCAAAACAAGTGAATTGTATGTATTCTTGCACATATGCTTCTGTGTTTAATTTGTTTCTTACTTTATGCAAAAAATACAGTTCAGAAAAAGGAGCAATCGCAAGGTGCCATTTTGTAAAGGCAAGATGCGTGTGATGAAGAAAAATAATAGGCCACACATGTAACAGCATGTGGGCAGCTTCTTCACCCTGCAGCAAGTGTTAGCTCAAAAGTCCAGCGGCACTAGCTGCCCTTCTCGCTCGCTAAACTAGTTCAAGCTGGTCCCTTGAATTGAAGTGGACAGTACTGCCAGCCATTTCTGTGTGATGGGACATCTGATAAGTGTGGTGTACTTGAGAACGGCTTTACTATGGGGTACATGATTGTAGCGTGAGCATACAGTGTCCCCTCTAGGTGTTGATTGGCATGTAACTAAATATATGATTATCCTGCAATCAGTCAGTTTCAATTCTTGTATAAAAGGAATCAAATATCAGGCCCAAAATGCATGCACAGTTTGTTTTTCAGTTGTACTTGTTTGGAGCACCAAAAAAATGCTCGATGTTCGTCCCAGAGCACAGCACGCTGGGCATTCGTCAAACGTGGTGGTGTCTTAACGTAAGTGGTCCTATGCAACAACATGCAGCCCAATGAAGTGAAATGATTGTTAGTTGTTCACTCAGGAAGCTTGCATGAATGTGCTTTCTGCATTTCAAGCCATTTGAAGGAACGCGCAGTGCGTTACAGACCTGCAAAGCTTATGTGTACAATTTTACACACTGTGCCTGAAGGGGATGTAGAAGTAGCATGTAACGTGTACAGGGCGGTTTAAGCTCAAGTTCAGATACGCTGTGTTTGTAGTTTTCACTGCACTGCAGTTCCTCAACTGAGAGAGTTGTGCGCAGGTGAAAGCCCTCCTCGTGGATGTTTAGCAAGCTAAAAATATATATCAATACTTTTGAATTCATGAAGGCAACTGAGATTTCTATTCATAAAAAAAAATAGGAAGCTATTCGGTCCTTGATATAGTTGCTAGTCTCGACGTTTCTGTCTGTTAGGAGTAATCTGACAGTGAATGAAAAATTTCGCATGATTTTGTACATACTATATAACCCTAACTGCACTTGGGATGACATACCAGACACCGACAAACGTCCACTAACAATTCTGCCTACTTCTACAGCTGTTAACCTCTACTCTGGTGCCTCGTCTTAAACATAATTAAGTTTACATAATATGTTTTACCAATTAGCCCCCCAAAAAACGCTCCTAGAGCTTGTTTTCAAAAATACACCCTTTTTTATTACATTTTTTAGCCATTATGCCACACTAAGCAGTTTAGTGATTTTAGTTATGTGTTCACTAATTTAGGTGTGGTCTTTAATTAGGAGACACCATTCTATCCATTACGCAGAGCATGCACTAAGATAACCACTTAAGAAAGACAACTGAAGTGCTGTCTACGAATTTAATAAATACGTACACTTCAGATATATTCAATATTTCATTTTTATATGTTATATTCACTTCATATGTGACATAACAGCACATGCCTTATGTTAGAGGTGTAGCCCTTGAGTACAGGCTGCATGTTCACTGATAGGGATATCAAGAAAGGTCTGTAATGAAAGCCATTAAGGCACAGCTTCTGGAGCTACTAAAATTTCACTTTGGAGCAGCATAGCAACTGTTCGGAGCAGTTACCTGTGCCACATTTTCCGTCACAAACACTTGTCTCTAAGCCGGAGCTGTTGCACCACATGTAAAAGGAAATCAATTTATACGTGCACGCATGAATATTCATTTGGAATACAACTGAGTATGAAATCAGCACATTGTTTTTTGCTTTCCTGTAGAAATACCCAAGTCAGCTATCGTCACCTTACACTTCCAAGAATTCACTTGGTACTTGTAAATGACTCTGGCTTTTCCTGATGCTTTAGTTACATACCAGAAGCCAATTCAGTCACAATTTTTTATGCATTCTGTTCACTCTCAAAAAAAAAACAGTGATTAAAGGGGCCCTGAAATGCTTTTTTTTGAGTTACCATGAAATTAGTTCACTGGAAAAGCGTATTACCTCATAAATTGAAGGCCGTAAATGTTTTAAGAATCCGTCTAGTACGAGTGGAGTTAGAAAGATTTACACAAACTTCGATCACATTCTCTCTTCTCTCGTGCCGACGAAAGTGCTGGAAGCTGAGCAAAAAGGGATGGGAGGGGCAAACACAGAATGTCACTCATGCCTCGTGACCTTGAGTATTTTTTTCTCTGTTTTTTTTCTTCCAATACGTGGCTTTTTTAGTGCAAACGCACGTGCACGCATGGACAAGTGACAGCCTCTCGCGGTGACTTCTGTAACAACCAAGCGCGCCATGTTCAAATCAGCCAATGGCTAATGAATGGGTTACTGGGCTTATTTTCCGTGATTCGTCAAGAAAAGAGAAAGCTTACTTTCACTATGATAACTTATTGTGAATTCCAGGCCACGCGCTCCACTATAATATTTGACTTGTGTGTTGTCGGGAGCCTCTATGTACTACCGATCGGCAGCGTTTTCTGACCATGCTCAAAAAGTGTTGCAGGGCCCCTTTAAGTTTTAGGGGCGAAGCTTCTTAAGGCGTGGGCTGTGCGTCCCCTGTATGTAGCCACCTCTCGTTTAGATCTTGCAGTGTTCACTAGATGGCGGTACTTGTAGCTGGTGATGAAAAGATGCAAGATGTTATAAACTAGATGGCGGTACTTGTAGTTGATGATGAAAGATGCGAGATGTTATAAAATAGGAATGATGTCACATATGGCGCGTGTCATTGGTAGAAGGCAATTGTTTGATTTAGTGCGGGGACGTACGCTAAGGGGAGCACTGTAATAAAATCGAGTGGGCAAAATGTACGGAGGATTCATGGTTTACCAGGTTTACCTCCGGAGCTTCGCCCACTCATCATCACTCACTTCGTGGATATGGCGGCACTTTTTTGCTTTTAGTACAGCCTAGTTCTTGATAGTGTGGAGAAGTGTTGGCTGACATGTTTTATGTACAGAATTGTTAGGGTCTCGGCTAATAAGTGGTTAATAAGGAACAGGGTTTAGTAACTGGTCCTTTGCTTCTGTTATTTCATGCTTGCACAACAAAATTTAAGGTGGGGGGGGGGGGATGTGAGTACATATTCACATTTGATACGCTGTTTGTTGTGTGCAGTTGCTCAGGTTGAGAAGCCCAGTCAAGGTATACCAGAACTGGGACACCACGCCTTCTCAGTGAAGTAACAGTCACTGTATAGCACGTGACACAGCTAAATTGTGCCCATTGTATGGCCTTGAAACTCAGGCATGAAATATTTTAGAATTTAACTAGAATAAAGAGCACTACTAATTATTAGGCCACCATCCAAAAACAACTAGGTCATTATTACTTTCTCTGGCTGTATCCACAACAGCTAAAAGCTATTGTGTTCCGCGAAATAATGTTCACTTACAGTATGATATAGCAGTAATGGAAAACTAACAAAGTACATTTCAATGTATGAGCGATTTGAAATCTAATGTAGTAAGTAAGTTACGCAATATGGAGTATAGTTGAAATCGTCTGGAAGGCTTCTGCCCAGCAACTACTTCAACTACACAGCACTGTCCTATCTACTGCGATGACTAGAGACCTAATTTTAGGCAAATGCCTATTTTCTTCCTTGCGTTACTACCGTGCCACTTTAATGTATGAGCATGAATTAAAGCTTGAGAATGGCTTTATAGTGCTTATAAGTGCCCATTTCAGACGTCTGTGCCTAAATTCTGAAATGTGCCTATAAATGCCCATATTCAAAATCGGTGCCTGTATGAACACTATTTAAGCTCAAATTTTGTTTTCCAGCATGGTTTGAGACCATTATTGATGTCACAGGGCAACACTGACCTTTCGTATTCTATGAAATTCAACCAAGTCCTTCTGTTGTAGAACCAACTTCTGAAAAACAACCTCTAGCAGCAGTGAAATGGGACACGGTGGCCACCATACGCCATAGTCCTGACCTGGCGGAAATGGTTGGAGGAGGAAGAGGAGTTGCTAAGGAGAGGAAAAGACACTATTTCTGCAGCCCTAAATTGGAGCAGTCTCAGCGTCTGTAAGGAAATGAAGAGGGAGCTGTAAATGTGGAGAAAATAAAGGAGAGTGCCGTCCATGGACAAGGACGCAGTGAGCAGCTTCTGCCGACCGTTGTCCAGTGTCCCGGTGGAATTGAGGAACCGCCCTGAAAACCTGGATGCGGTGGTGGAAAGGAAACAGGAAGTCCCCCTGTAGCCGTGGGCAGGTGGAGAATATATGCCGCACTGTGGAAAGCCATCAAGGGAGAGAAGAGCGTGGATCAAAAGAAAGAAATATGCGTGGTGCACGCCACTTTTTTTTTGGCAATTTACTTTTTAAAGGGCCCCTCATTAGGCTAAATACGAAATTGTACTTAGACACCGGGCGTTGTTGTGTGGCCAACGAAGAGTGTTGCACTACAGTGATTTTTCAAATTGGTACGTTGCGAGCCACGAAACCTTGATGCGACGAGGCATACTTGAAACCCTTGCCACTAGTCTCATGTAGCCATCGCAAGCCCCATTCTTTCGCAACCCTTTTTGGTATCGGAGTCGAGGGATTGCATGACACAGACGCATCAACAGGTCATGCACACGCAAGCTCACATGCGCATGACTTGCCCACGCACGCCATCAATGCTGTGTTGTTTGGGTGTTTTTGATAGTGTGTTGCTTATTCCTGAGGGATCCCTCACAGCTTGTACGTTCGGAGAGGCTGGTACGGATCATGTATCCCTACCACTATACACCACGTCACACCGCTGGAACTACTGTCAGAGACGATGCACCAGAAACAAACCAAGAGATGTCAGGGAGCTAGGCACGGCACGGAAATGGGGACAGGACGAACGCATGTGAAACGGAGGCTGATTAGTGTATAGAATCTCACTAAGATCGAAAAATAAGAGAAAAACAAAAACAAGCTCACACTCCATTTGTGGCCTTTATTTCTCCGAGCTTTCATTCGTTTGCTCAACAACAGATCACACAAATTGCACGTGTCGCCTTAAAAGGGTTCTCAAATGTCACCTGCTACGCTTTCATTCGGGTTTCGCTTAAAGTGCTGGATATAGCCAGAAAACGCAACATTTTTGTCTGGTTTTCAGGATATAGCCAGTATTTAACCAGGACCTTATCAAGAGTGTACAGTGAGTGACGTTAGAACTGCAATGCTTACGTACAGGAGCAACGTAAGAATAGGATCACTCCTTGTTGCATGTCCCCTCTCCATCATGGTATGCAAGCAACATTGAGTTTGGAATTTCATGTCTTTCAGCAATGCGTATAGCCTTACAAATCTTGGCAGACCTGATCCTGAGAGCACAATACATGCATTACACTTGTCAGCTCGAAATGCTCAAACATGATGAGGGGCCTTTTAAGATGTTCAATAACATGAAAAAATTGACCCTACGTGATTATAACCTACTAATACCGGAAATCTCTTCTTTCTGATCGTATAGCAGCCTGGTGGTCTGCTGCAGTGCGGCCCTTCTGAGCCACGATGAATAGAAAGATACCCAGGCCATGCTAGACAATAAAAGACCGTGCTCTGCGAACCGTGCAGGAAATGCATGGCTATGTTCCACCACTGGTGCTTTTGTGCTATCTCAAAAATAACATTTTTTGCTTCCTATTGTGTGAAAGTCACGCACGTCTTTGTTCGTGATTATTTATATTTACGTAAAAATTTATTGTGCTCATATTTAGGATTTTGAAGGCCTCAAACAGTGTTTTACCTGCCCATTTTAGGAGCCTAAAATGCACTTTTTTAGTACATGAAAATCTGGCCTCTAGCGATGAGCACTCAAAATTACAATTGACTCCGAGGCCCCACCGTCATGTTTCTCACCAAAAGAAAACAAAAATAATGCATGGTACATGCTTGGCACAAATAATAAAAGTTTTGCGAAGATGTAGCAAATTTAATCTCTTGGCACAATTGCTACTGCTATCACAACACTGAATGTTGTACATACTGCTCTGTTATGCAATAAAGCTCTGATGGAAGTCAGTGCTTGTCCCCTCTTTTTATTTCCAAGCTCATGTCTTTGCTGGTGTTATAAATAAGGGGGCTCCGAAATTTTTGGCCAGAGGGCCAGACTGGCAACGAGTTGTGATGTCAAGGACCAACCAATAAATATCTAAGCAGGGAACTATCTAGCGACTAAGGCATGAGGTGTCTGGAAAAATTAAATGGTCAGCAGTGGTCATACAAAGCATTCCTCTAGATCCAAGATCGCAATGAGAAAACTTGCCAGAATTTTGGCTGGAAGGAGATCACTTGCACGAGCCATCTTGACCAAGAAGCATCCTGATCACTACAAAAAGAAAAAGAAAAAAAGGTCGATAGACCAACCTTCACTTTTGTTGGCGATGATCCTTCCATCAAGGCACCCAGAAGGTAATCCACGACTTGCTCGGCATAGTGACCATCGTTCTCCACTGTCATGGCTGTTTTTCATTTCAAGTTCAGAAAAACGACAGCACTTCTCATAAAAGAGACATCAAAGAAGCATTGACACAAAGGTTTTGCCCCTTGTTCTTTTTTCTTTTGGTTGTATAGTAGTAACAATGTGACAACTGTAGGAAGAGACAAAATGTACAGGAAAGAGCGCCAACTGTCAACTGAATATATTGAAGGTGCTATGACCATTTTTATACAACCAGCAAGAACAGTGCTCATGTGCAATGACACATGTGTGACCATGAAAAATATTCTTAACTGAGAAAAGAATACTCTCTTACGGAAAAAAGAAGCAAGGGTGCACTGAAGTACTGATTCGTGGCCTCCATAATATAAATTGATACAAAAGTGTTGAATTGTAACCACTGTCAGTAAGCTGTGTGATGTCAATTATGTTTTTTGTAGTAAACATTTCTGTATGCCTATTCCTGCTTAAGACCTGGTAAACAGGTCAGCAGTATGTAATAAATAAATAAATAAATAAATGCTTGTATAATCTCTTTTTGATTCTTCCTTCTTAATTTTTTCAAAAACCGTGTTTTATGAAACAGAAGACCGCACTCACATTCTTTGCAGTGTACAACCATGAGACCACCAAAGCTATTCTTAACATTGGAAGCACGCTGTTTTGCTCGGTCATTGAAACATTGCCAGTTTGAGTGAAGAATGTAAGAGAGATAATAGAAGCATTTTTTATCACGAAGACCACGGATCAATGCTCCAGTACACCATCGCATCTCCTTTTCGAGAGAGAGAGTATTCTTTTCTCCTTTAAGAGTATTTTTTCATGGTCACACACGTGTCGTCGCGCATGAGCACTCTTCTTGCACTCTGTATAAAAACAGTCGTAGTGCCTTCAATAAATTCAGTAGACAGTCAGTGCTCTTTCCTGCACATTTTGTCTCTTCCAATAGTTGCCGCGCTGTTCTACAACACAATCACGATGAACCAACTCGTCCAAATTTAGCTCCTGTAGTTGTTTTTCTTGTTACAAGGGGTAGCTTATGACCCTTTTATAACAGCTAAAAATCTTGTGTGCACAATGTTTATTTAGTTAGAGACCTTTTAATTGTGCTCAGTTGCAGTTTCGGTTTCAAAGAGCGCCAGGCTGGACAGGAGCAGTTCCAGTATAAAGGTAAAAACAGCTGGCCACGTGACCACCCAAAACTGTGCCGTGGCACCGTGTGCAAGAGTGGGCGCTGCACTGACAGCAGCCTCCACAGCCAGCACACACAAGGCCGCCGACACAGAAGAGGAAATGACAGGTAGTGCAAGCGCAGGGCACGTGTCAACCAAACACTAACACAAAATTGTGACGAAGGTTTGTATACACTCTCCCGGCCTTAATGTCGTCATCGCAAGGGGCTCCGCATCTCGCTCTGTCACGCAGTATACACATTAAAACTGACTTCAAGTATAATCTAGGCCATATTTGCCCTTGATATTTCACAGATGTTGTGTATGTCTCTAGACACATTTATCTTGCTCATTATCTCACTTGGGAAATTTCATGTTAGCGCTCCTTTAAAGCCAAGTTGTCATTTGGAGTAGTTACGTAGTTCGGTATTGCAGTTGAAGCAGCTGATACAGTAAAAACTGCTGCAAACATAGGCAATGCCGAAAAGCATTATGGCGAGTTGGTACATTTGTTCGTAGAGAAGAGGTACTATGCTGTCCTTCTCTTGCATCAGACTTGTGCTCTCTCTTCGTAGAAACGATAACTGAGGATTCTCAGTACATGTTTACATAACCAATATCAACATGTGAAGCACAGGTAGCCTTGAGAATAGTCAAGTCATATGCACATAGAAGTGTGCATGGAATGCAGATATGTCAGACCACAGGCCCAAGGTGCCAACGAATTCTTCGTCACCCTTATCAAGTGTTAAGCTGCTTATAAATATGAATTTAAACATCTTTTAAATAAGCCTAAGGAAAGCATAAGCAACAGCACGATCGCAGTAGTGAAGGAAACAAATACGTTACGTTAAGTTTACACATTTTGCAAGTACGTTCACATAGACCCAACTTGCCATAAATGCGTGCTAAAATATACTACTGAAAGCGCTAAATGTCTGCCGTAGACATTATGTAACAAAGGAGTGACAGAAAAGAAACACAGAAATGTATCCCAAGTCAATAGCATGTCTTCGCTAGATGCCAACATTGGTGAGAAAGACAAGGCATATTTACTTCATTTTATCTAACAATTCATCATGTCTACAAAGACAATGTTGTGTTTTTACTTATTTTATAAACAAGGCCAAGCAATACCAGCAACCTTGCTAATAAAGCGAGTGAAAAGCTACCACCTCAAAGGATACAGCTGATTTCCTTGTACAAGTAGCCAGGAATAGGGCCATCAAGGTTGGACATTGCTTCAGCCAACAGCGGTACCTGGCGGCAGACAAAAATGCAATATGTATATGCAGTAATATTTGGAGATCAAAGCAGACCATGCACTCATTCATTGTTTAGATGTGCCCACGAGCACCCCTAAACCTTTGTTAGGGTGGACGCTTGTCGCATAAATTAATGTTGTAAATGTGAAGAGCATTTTCTATTTGCTGTATTATGCCACTAATATGGACATTCCATTCCATGCAGCTATAAAGGGTTCTTTCGAGCACAGGTACCAAAACGACAACTTATGAAATCTCATGTTCATGAACCATCTACCAGTCTTCAGATAGCTCAGTACCTAACTACACATCTAACTTGCTAAACCATGCCTAAGTAATTAAGAGAGACGTAAGACAGATAAAACAAAAATGTAGGAATAAAGGAATGTCTATGAAGTCACGCAGGATAGCTTGGACTTGCTTGGCATGGTACAGGGTGAAGGCGCAAAAGACAGACAGAGAAGAGGCTTGGCACACACACAATACACTTGTGTGTGCCTGTCTTTGATTTTTGCACTTTCACCCTTTCTCATATTGACAGTCTACATCACTTGCAATGCTGTTTAAGCCACAGACGTGTTTCACCCAGCAAGTGACAGCACAGTTGCAATGCATAAGCATTTTATTACTTTGGCCTGAAGTGACACCTTCCTTTGTATTATGCCTTTGGAATGCTTTTGCACTTTTTTCTCACGAGACACTCCTAAAACGATTTCAAACATCATATTTAAAATCTCGAACAACATAATTTTTTCAATGTGCAAACCTCACTTTTGTGTTCACTAAGCAGTATGCTCTATGCATATTTGTCATTGCCACAAACAACACTGATGCTATAGAAATAAAAATGTTTGAGGAGGCAGCCTTATTTGGCTAATGAGTAAAAGATCAGGCACGTAGCATTGTCAACAAGAATAGTAGCAAAAGTAAGATGTGGCACATACTCACAATCCCTATGAAAGAATCAAGATGAGAAAAATTTGAACTAAAGTGAGTAGAAATTTACGAAGCAAATATGTGTCAAGCAATTAGAAGTGACCATTAAGAGCATAATGTTAATAAATGTGCATCAAGGTGTACTTAAGAAAATCAATGGTGACTTAAGGTGAGCCACGTAACTGTGTGCAAAATAAAATTTATGAAAGTTTATTTACATGTGAATTCAAGTAACAAATGTATGCCATGTGACAAAGTGAATCAAATGTGCATTACATGAATTATGAAAATCAAAAGGGAATTAGTGAATTAAATATAAATCGCACATGGGTTATTTAATGATGAGATCAAAATTAACAGCAAATCAAAACAAGAGAGCATGGGCTTTCGCCTGCACTCTCCTTAGTATAAATTGGCTGAAGGAACTGTCAGTTTTTTTGTTTTTCAAACGACGGGTTTTGGTATCATAAAGTCCCGAGAAAGCACCTCTTTAATAGATTTCAAGTATGCGGCCATTTTCCCCCATTTTCACGGCTTCATTCACTGTTTTTATTAGCCCATCGAGGGCAAATGGAGACAGTATCATACATATTCAATAAAGCACCTTTTTAGAAGAAGCACGGGTGCGCATTTTTTATGCTTAGCTGCTCTTCCATCATCCTCTTGAATTTGAATTACGACGGCCATCTCTGCAAATCTTGTAGAATTATCCTCCACTGTACAGGGGGTACCTGCTAAGGGGTTTTCATTTTCGTAGAGGAATTTTCTTAAAATAGTTTTTTCTCATGGACAAGCTGGACTGCACAAATATCTTTTTCAGTTGTCACCTCTTTCTGCAAATAGGTCGTTCCTTAGCTAAACCAACACAGCAAAATGTCTAAAAGGGCTACCTACCACTCACTGCACGTATCTTGGTATAAAATTGAACAAGTGTGTTCCAGCATCGCGAGTTGATTACAGTCGCAAGCAATGGTGCAATAGCTTTCATTTATAATCTACCAACTTCAGAACATTTTCAATAAATACTGCTTCATTTTCAATCAAACACTGCAATGACACGACACTTGTCGATCTGTGCCATTTAATTATCATTGCATTTCAAACCTTTGTGTATAGGCCTAATTATTTGCAGATACGCGCTAAATTAACAGCAGATACGCGAAACACTGCAAATCTGTGCAAGCGGGTAGTTGCACTCTTTGGAAGTACTGAACTCCTAAAACAAAGGGCATATCTTGAGCATCTTTTTGCCCTACAACAATCGTCGCTTATCTCGTGTGCGTTTCATTGCGTTATCACTGTGCACCTGACACGTCGAGGTTGGAAACGGTGAGTGCACTATCACTGCAAGATGGAAGCAGCACCAACTTTCAAAAAAAGGAAACACGTGTAAGCACGATGATTATTACTGTTGTGGGATAAACACTAAAGATACGTTGTTTGTCTTCAGAGTGTAGGACTGAAAACAGCTGGCTTCTTTGGTGCATCATTCTATTACGTCTTTTGGCTGAACTCTTTCCTTTTTTCTTTCTTCTTGAAAGATTGTGCTTTTAATGTCATGCTCATTGCACACACACTAACTTGAAAGCAGCGAGCATGCAGCGTTAAGGTAAGGCACACAAGATAGATGATGATTGTTGTGCAAGAAAAACATGCCCCAAACTGTGCAGCTGTCTAGAGCTTAGCGCCAAGTATAGGTGCCTGTCAGCTGGCTCCACACGCTCGCTTGAATGCAGCTGCTGCATTTCAGCATGGTCTTTCTGGTTAATTTGAGCAACAGCATGCTCACAGGCTGCACTGTAGGCAGCACAAAAACGAAGGCCATTACTGCCACAGCTGTACTAATTCTTCACTGAAATCCAATGCGCGTCTCATACAACACAGCGCGATTACCAGAAAGTACGAATATGACAAAAAAGTTACCGGCAACAATGAAACTCCCTAAAGTGAAATTTGTGAGAGGACATGTATGCATTTTACAGGTTGCCAGACAACATAAATGCCACAGCATGAACAGTGAAAGTTTCGACACATAACGCACTCTTAAAATTACTGAACACTACAACGAATGTTTCTTTATCTGTTTTGATGCTGTGCAGTTTCAGTGAGAAACGATAACTGTACAGTGACAAGACAGCTCTGATTGGTCAAAGTATGCTTGATACATTCCTCTTTAGCTTTTCATCTTGTTCTATGGTCGTTCCCTCCATTATGGTGACGCACGCCAGCACTCAATGCAAAAGCTGGTGCCTAACAGCTACATTCTAACAACAGCATATATAAGCCATTGCCTTGTCAAATCAAATATGCAAAAAAATTTTAGTTTTAGGATTGTTCGAATTGAGAATTTGATACTGAACTGAATATTAGTCATACAGTGTCTGCAGCAAACTGAATCAATGAAATATTTATTACTTTTAAAATAAGAAATAGCTGTTCTTTTTTACAGGCATAAAATCGCATGATCAAATCCTCGTATTTTCAACGTCGGCAAGCTTACACTGTTACGCAGCATGTTATAAAGCATCATTTTAAAAAATCACCAATCAAGCACTAGGCATTATAAAACAGTTTCTGTGAATGCACTTGATAACTCTTCGTAGGGGGCAAATTATCAATATACAGCAAATCAAGCATGGCACAAGTGATGTAGCTTGATTCCCAATGCGTGTCAAAGCAGTTTACGTTGGTACCACGTCAACGGGGATGCGACTGGGTCATAATTTTGAGCAAACTTCAAATTGGCACAGCCGAGACTTTGTTGAAATTCTTCTAGAAAATTATATTTATCTATGAACAGCAACAATTACATCTCGCAACCAAATTGAATAACCAGTTTCACCAATAAACAAAACGGTTTTCAGCACGTGGAAACTCAGCCACGCACTGATAGACTGTTGAATACCTGCCCCAAAATTATATGTATCTATAACAGTGACATTTTTCAAACTAAACAAATGACCAGTTCTACCAATAAACAAAACAATGGTTTTCAGCATGTAGAAACGGTGCCGTGCACTGAAATGTTCCAATCTATCTCTGTTGTAGCGGCTGACCTCAAACCCAAGGGCCCTTCCCCCATATCAGCTGTCAATACTCAAACAACACAGTGGCTGTTTTCAGGGACACAGCACAATAAGAGAAACCATGGTTAGTTGTGCCGGGGTTAATAACAGGTCACTTATGCAAACCACTCACACAGCTTCTTCACGAAGGAGTGCTTTTGCCCAGGGAAGTTGGTACACTTGCGCATTTAACTAGCGTGAAAGGCGAGACGAAAGGCTCGCTTAGGTCAGCACTAATCCTGTGCTGTCAGCCCTGGTCTTCCTGTACATGTGCCTTTTGTCACCTCTTTCATGCTGGTTATCTTCCCAAATCTTCATCAAGGACTCCACAGAGTGCAACAATAACCTGCCGTGTGGCAGACTGTGCGATTCACCCCAGAAAGTATGTAACTATACGTGGAGGCCGTTGTCAATGTAGTACTGATGTTCCTTCATTACCCCCAAACAATTTTTATGCTGCAATGACTATTTCCTGCTTTAGAGCATTCACTGTCATGTATAAATCCAACCATGCAAGCTAAATGTACAAGAACTGAACACAAATGATCAAGAATGACTTTGAAGGCAAGCAAAGCTTACTGCCATTCTTGACCACATGTTCGTCGTCTCTGAGTGTGCCCCCGAGTCTGTATAAAGCATCACCTTGCCGTTCAATGCTGGCATGTTGCCATGGCTCGTCGTGGTGCATTAACTCCATCATAAAATGTGCATTCTGCTTCTGTCGTGCGCAGGACAATTCCACAATGTGCAACACAAGCTGCCTCGTGCATTTTTCTGCGCCACTGACACAGCCCACTTGCTTGCTCGACGGCAGACGACAACATGCGCCTTCTTCCTGGCAACAGTTTTCTGTTCTCCAAAAATCTTTCCGATGAAGGTCTATATCCCCTCCTTTTTTCATTCCCCTACTCCCGCTCATACGGTGTGTTGTCTAAGGGCTGTTGAAACTTCACCTCATTTCTTATGAATATTGACTCAAAGCCTTTGAAAAAGTCAAAATGTCAGTGAGAAAACAAAACAAACAACGTTCCTTGAATAGTGACCGGCTTGTCTTTTATTATCGGTGGCAACAGTAAGGCATTTTCCCTAAGGAAGACGACACAAAAAAAATAAGAAGGGCTCCAAAAATAGTTCTACATTCTTCCGTCTACATCTTATCTCCGGCAGTTGTAAACAGTTGTCAACAAACTAGTTTCAATCGTGGACGGATGCTACAAAACGTGAAAGTAAAGAACCGCAAGCACGAGACAACTATCCATCAGTCAATATCATTGTCGGCGTTTTGTTGTTATGTTAACAATAAGTTAGGTGCAGCACAGGGTTGCTCAATGTTACTAAAAGTCGTGATTCACACAATGGTGGGGCATGCGATGTGCGAGCTCTCTTGATGACAAAATAAAGGGCACTAGCAATGGTTATCTGCCTGGTGATCGTGCGAATATGCAGACTGCACGGGGTGTAAAACAGCCCGTGCAGACAGTGGACAGGGTGTAAACAGTGGTACCGGAAGTATAGGAAACAAAAAAACGTCCTAACAGGCCTGCATCAATGCACCACCCACTTTTAACACCTCCAAAACACACATTTCAACAAGGCAGTTAAAAACCAACAAAAAGATATGTATAGGCATACATGAGAACCAGCTGCCTCAACAATAAATCCGCCATTCAGCCTATGCCCTAAGTTGCTTTTAGCTTCTTCACAACCAAAAGAATTCAAAATGTTCACAACAATCTGCCTAGAATCAGCAGAACAAACCATCAAACTTGCCAAACGTATAAAAAAATTACATACATATTTATACATTTGTGCATACAGTGCATCAGCTGCCTTAACACATATACGTTATGTATCTGATTATGTACCGCAGAACCCCGCTTATACTCTCCTTATTTATATGTATACTTGTGCATAACATTTTTGGCATCTCAGCCCAGAAAATGATGTTCACAGACACCGATGTAACCTAATCCAATTTTGACAGATTGTTTCTGCCAGATACTTTATGAGCTGTCACAGGAGTGGATGGGCAGAGAGAACATGTCAGTCAGTTGGGTGATGTGGATTGCCACAGGGCTATCCAAGTGTGCCAGAGGTGTGAAAGAATCACCAGGCATCTATCAAGGACTTGTTAAGCCACAAACTGATTGGTAGGGTTTAACGTCCCAAAACCACCATATGATTATGAGAGACGCCGTAGTGGAGGGCTCCGGAAATTTCGACCACCTGGGGTTCTTTAACGTGCACCCAAATCTGAGCACACGGGCCTACAACATTTCCGCCTCCATCGGAAATGCAGCCGCCACAGCCGGGATTCGAACCCGCGACCTGCGGGTCAGCAGCCGAGTACCTTAACCACTAGACCACCGCGGCGGGGCGTTAAGCCACAAACTGAGGAATGAATTTTTCGAAGGTATAGTTGAGTGAAATACATTTGCTTTAAGTTAAGCAGTACATTTTTTTCTACTTCCAACCGCATATTCGTGTTGCACATTTCCCATTTACTGCTTTTTTTTTGCTGCGGTTGTGTGAACCACGAATTGGAGGGGCTCTACTCTATTTCCCTGCCTTTCGAACTGCATTGCTCCTGTGGCATAAGGAGTTCAACCACGTCAGGCTCCAATTTACAGCACCATGGCACTTCAAAAAACTATCATACTCATACCAAGTCGACAAGCAGATCAAATAGTACATGGCATGGTGCCAAGTATATATAGCCATTAAGTGAGGACACCGGTTAGGTGCATTTATCCAGATAATTAAGCGACAGTATGACGAACCGAGTTTACACACGCCGTGCCCGTTCATTAGATCTGTGACACAACTTCAGGAAGAAAAGATTGGACCTCGAGTTTTCACTGCAACCAGGTCTTCAGGGAAATCCAAATTCAGTTTTATACAGGTGAGAGTCTTGGTTTAGCACCTTACTAGCTGTGGAGGCATGTAGAGCAAGTGCAGTCTCCCCTTTTGCCACTAACCAGTCTGCATAAAGTGGCTCAAGCACTCCGGATTTTCCACGAAGTGCTGGCTGCCATGCCTATGGGAGGGCAAATCTGTCAAACACACCCCTAAATTGCCGATGGATTTTCGCTGCCATCACTGGACCAACTGGTGTGCTATTGCTACTTTATTGGGCTGGCTGTGAATCACACCTAAACAGTATGTAGGTACCTTACACTGTGATCGGCTTTCCTAATTTCACCTTTCTTCACTACTGCATTATCGGCCTATCAACCATGTTCGCGTTTGTACCAAAACAAGTCACATTTGCCTGAAACCAGCAATGTAAAAGAGTGCAAGAGAGCAGGCGAATGCTTTCGAACATTGCCAACGACGAATGGCAAACCCGTGCAGATTTACACATTTACGTCATACACACCAAACAATCGCAATGTGTATTAGGCACAGCTGTATATATTGCAATCACTTATTTCTCTCTCTGTCCACATAGTCCTACCTAGAAGCAACCACCGGCACAAAGTATAGAGGCTACCACACTCAATTTGAAAGACTGTATGAGGCTGCACAATATGCAATTAATGCTCGGACGATGTACCAAGTGTAAATATGAGAAACTGTTATTAACAGCTTCTTGATACTATGATGGCACCTCTCAGCTTCAATTTCATGCAGCATTCTCAAGTGTATTTTCAGTTGCAACACTTCTCAGTAGAGCAATACCTTGTCATTTCAAAATTCACCCATATTGTACATCGCTTATCGTGTGCCATGAACTAAGACGTGCTTTATTAGTGTTAGAACGATATGTACATGTGATCTCACCTGCAAGTATTACCTCCACAGCCACTGATTGATTGGCTTAGCATTTTTGTCCTGTGCTAATCCTGTACAACATAAATCTTTTCGATTTGCCAACTTTTTCATCTTGCACTTTCAGCCACGGTATAGAACATGTGTTTCAGGCTAAGGCTACTCCTGCACAAAAAGGCATGCCTGATCATGTCGTGAACGAATGTTTACACTTCCCTTATTCGTGCAGCATTCCAGGCACTGGATTCAAAAACGAGTTATTATGTTAAAGGCAGCCAGTGCCAAGGTTACTGGACATACGAGGTATTGAATAATTTGCCTCAACTGAAAAATCTGGGAAGGCACGAGTGTAATTTCAACTACTTGACTTTGCTTGACAGCTAACAATAATAATGATTCCAAGGCAACCAAACACCGACTGTCCCCGAGGACGTTTCTTCAATGGCTGTAGCGAAAAGATGTGACCCATGTGAATCGCTCGGCCGCAAAAAGCTGTTTGCTGCCAAAACTTTGTCAATGTACTAAAGACACCAATAACTCGGGTGCCACTGTGTGCTGAACTGTAGGCAAGGACATTCCAAGTAACATGAATGCTGACCAACATAACGAGAAAGTTCACAAAGTTCCCAGGTGGTGTGCAGTAACTACGCAGGTATAACGTCTCTGTTGCAAGGCCTCAAAAGCCTGCTAACGATTTTGCGATGCCAGTGGTGTTTTCAAACGTTGATCGGAGGAATTTGAGATTTACGTGTCGTTCAGCTCCAAGTCAGCACAAGCAGGTCGGGCACTTCACAACCACACTGCTATACATACAAGGATAAACAGTGAAGACCTTTCCTTCCATTCGTATAACAATGGCACAGTTCACTGCCACAAGCAGAGGGAATCGCGTCTTGCAGAATCTAAGTAGAAACAACACCAAAACTTGACTGCAGTGACACGTTTCGGCATACAGCCGACAACCTTAGATTTTCTCGGAAAGTGCACTTGAAAGACTTGACAGCACTTCATTACTTCAAGCAGATGCCAGTGGCGTTCAAGGCGAGGTGTATGCTTTTTGTTCACCAGCATAACCAAAGATAAATAAAGGTGATATAGCAACAGCTTTTGATTTCTTTGCAGCATGGATGATCAGTACTCCATTTTTGTAATGTGGCATTACGTAGGAAGCACATCACTGTTTAAAAGCTACATAATTGATGAACACCTCATGGGGGGCAATTTCAAAAAGAGGTACTAGAGGGGTATTGCATTTGCGCAACCAGTTGCCGTCATCGTCATGCTTTCTATGAATAAAAACTGCTACTGACCAAACTAGCTGGTTGTGTTGCTGGCAATGCCATACCGTCAGTGCCTTCTGCTCCGGCAAAGAAACAACATAACTACTGCACTAAAGCTCATATAAGGCGCGAGTTCCGTAGGTACCGTATCAACACGTGGTAAACGAACTTGTACTGCGCCAGAGTCTGCACGCTGAGCATACGCTGCATTCGAACAGAGCTCAGCGCCCTCGGTACGTCCACCGGAACGTTGTGATCCAGACAGAAGAGCAAGATGTCACACAGAATCACCACACCCGACCTGCCCACGCCCGCGGTGCAGTGCACCACCATTGGGGTGTTGCGCGTCCGCAGAAGACGCTGGTCACCCGAGGCCAGTCGGCGCACAGAGTCCACTTCCTCCATAAAACCGAGAAATCCCTGAATGTCGCCAGGAGTGCCATGGTCGGGCCAGTCCGTGTAGCGGAGGTGCCAGACATTTCGGTGGCTGCAGGCAACACCTTGGGATTTGCTCAGGGTCAGCGAGGTCGTCACAGCCACAGCGGAAGACACGACACCCTTCCTAGCTACTCGGTATTCACCAAACGAAAGGGCCGCATCATCGCCGTCAGCCGTAGGCCAGTACTGAAAGCACTTCTCACGGCCGTGTTCATCCTCAGTTTCTGTCAGCATCACAACCACACCCACATGGTTTTCCCAGACCATTTGCCAAAAGCTTTTGGCAGTTTCCCGCGTGGGTCCCTGCGCTGCTATGTAAAAACGCTGGCTGTCGCCCACACTTGCTGAAACGTGCGAGGCATTGATGTAGCCACTTCGATTGTCAGGTGTCGGAGTCAGTCGTACGCGGTTCTCTTCGTACGGAAGGACATCACTAAAACGATTGCGAGTGGTGTTTTCTGAAAGCAGTGCCGTCGTGAAGTCGGCATTGGGCTTGCGCTTGGCAATGCGCTCGAACTCGAGGAACACTTGACCATCCTCCAATCGGCTTTCGAGAATTTGTTCGGGCCGTAATTCTTTGGACGTGCTGGGCGACTCCTGGTCTACATTGTCCTGGTCACCTGTAAGCAGCTGGTCTGGCTGGGCTACTGTCAGAGTTAGACCGTTCATGGCTGCCACCATCATGGGACCTAGTGGATGTGCTGGTGATGCTTCTTGGCTCAGCGGCGCCCGTTTTTCCTCTGTAACCTGCTTTCGGGGAGGTGGCACTGGAGTGGAATCTATTGGCTTGGCCATCGCTGCCACCACTTGTTCTCGTGTCGTTGGGGTGCTGACACACACCTGAATCCGTTGGGGCTGGGCAACTCCAGACACCTGTGCATTCCACGACTCTCCGACCGGCACGTAGGTAGGAAGCACCGGTCTCGGAGGCTCCACAATCGACCTCAGAGTCTCCGACGTCACGTTTCCATTGACAGCTGCCTGGTAATGTGGTAAACTTGGCTCTGACCCTTGGATAGTGCTCTGGCTAAGGTGACGACGGGATACCAGGTCTGGGCTCGCACTTGCCCGAAGCTGGTGATGGTTACGCGTCAGATCCGGTGTGCTTGCGCTGGGTCGTTGGCCATATGGATATGGTGGTGGTGGCTTGTACTGGTAGTTCAGGTGCATGTTGGCAAACAACTGCGCTGGGTTGACTTCGTACGACAATCCCTGAGATGTCAACTCCGGAGTGCTGTATGTGTGCAATGGTGGAGCGAGTAGCGGCGGTGCCCTGCCATGTGCAATGCCATCAATGCGATTGTTGTTGTTGTTTGCCAGGTCACCGAAAGACATAGAGTCACCGAGTTCGGTCAAATCGGCGAAGTTGCCATAATGTGTGTAAGACAGCGGCGGAAGTAGAGGGTTGCAGGAGCGAGACAAGCTAATGTCGAGTTCATTCGACACTGCTGAAGCTGTCGCAGGATGCTGCTGGTGATACACCTGGCTGTTCTGTTGAGTTTCAAGAGGAAGGTCGTTGAGGCTGCAGCTCGTGACTCCGTACTTGTTGAGAACGGCGGTCTCATAGTCAGGGGCCTGTCGGTACGATGGCAAAAGCGCTCGCCGCAGATCAGTGGCACTTTCGGAGCTGCGGGGAAGGCTCACGTAGGAGTGGTGCACACTGTTTGCCTGCTGACCAGTTTCATTGCGCATCGAAATGTGCTCCGTCGAAGCAGCGACATTCTCACAGACGGGAACAGGGTTGGTCGGATGGTGGTCGTAGCCATTGTGGTTTGGGTCAACCAGTTCGCTGGTGCTTCCTGCAAATGCGTAGTTTTCACTGTTCCGTGTCTCAGTGTGGTAAACGGCCAACTCGTCAAGCGATTCCCGGCTTTCTCCAACATCTGTCCCACGTTCCTCACCAGTATTCTCCGTGTCCGGCAAGGACGTCCAGCGGAAGCTCTCGCCCCCGCCAATGTTGATACTGGGCGCTCGCGTGTAGGTCTCTCCCATCATGCCTCCAGGTGCCGCTGCTGCGGACTCCTGCATGCTCATGAAGAACCCGTGTTGCTGCACGCACATCTTCCAGATGTACTTCGCCGTGCTCACGTCTTCGAGCTGGAACTGCGAGGAGTGTGCCGCGTCGCGGCCGACGATCTTGAAGTTTCGTTTGTGGTGGATGAGATCCACGATTTCGCTCCACTGGTACACCGCCAGCTGTGGCTGTTGCTCTTCGCCTGGAGACAGGTGCACTGTGCCCAGCGAGTTGTCCTGGTCACCGCTACGGCGCACCCGTCGCGCCGTCACTCCCTGAACAGACACACCAAGGACCATGTCGACCCCCGAGGAGGGGTTGCGCACTTCGAAGCGTTCTTCGCCGTAGCCTTCAAGCCTCTGCACGGTCTGTATGTAGTGCATTTCTGCGGTCGCATGGTCCAAGCCTTGAAGACTCCGGTGGGCATTCACGATTTCATCGAGGAGCGCTGCCTCCTCTTCTTCGTTGGCGCAAGCGAGTAGCACCGACTTGGGAAAGAGGACGAAGTTTCGTAGGTACTCGGCCGTGTGGTGTTCGGGCCGGTGGTCTCCAAACTCAGCCTGCAAGCTGTAGCTGGCCAGCCGTATCGCCTCGCGGCGGTCGCACGGCAGCTTGCCCTCGATCACGTCGCTCTTGAGCTGCGAGAAGTAGTAGTAGCGCGTCACGTCACTCTGGAGGAGACGGCGCGCCTGCGCGGCGTCCGGAACGTAGAACATGACGCCCAGTTGGAGGCTGCAGCAGCCGCCGCCACCACCGCCGCCTTCGCGCGAAGACGGCGCGGCGCCGTGCTTGTCGAGCTGCTTCTTGAGCGGTCGCTCCAAGTCCACCCATCGTAGCTGGCCGTCACGAGTCTGGTACCGCAGGCCGAAATACTCGGGCTGCGTGATCTGAAGTCGCTGGCACACATTCTGCAGGCACTCGCGTCCCGCCGTCCGAGAAGAGACGATGCACTCGACCGTCGCGTTCTCGAGTAGTTTGACAGCGATGACGCACAGACTTTTCGAAACGACGCTGTAGTGCTTGCTCTTCTTGAGCTTGAGTCGGAACGGCATCTCGCTGCCTCGGCGGGTATTGTCGTCGCTCGCGTTGTCGAGGAGGCCGTCGCGACGCGCATTTTTTTTCTCTCGCCTCCCTCTCACGGCATGCCGCGGCGCAGCACCGCGCCGATGACGAGTCACACGCACACACTCACTGCTGCGGTGGCGGCAACGCCTCGCCTCTGATTACCGAAGCGCTCGGGAATGCCGAGCAGCGACGCAACAGCGACGATAGGCCTAGCGCTGTCATGGGGCGTAGGAGGACGGGCGCCGCCAGCGAACCAACGACGCTTGTTTGTGATCCCCGCTGTATAACTCGTTCTTTGTTTGGCACTTTGCTCGTCCACACACGCAGACAACTCGCGAACGCTTTTCTTTACAGCGCGCGCGCGCAGAAGGCGGGAAAACAGCGCCTGGCGTTTGACGCCAAGGCAAAATATTTGGGGTGTGTTTGTTCTGCTAAGGCGGAAGGCTTCGTCAGGAAATGTGTACCTTTTTGAGAAAACTCAGGTCCTCTTTGAGCGCTCCTTTCATTTTGCTTGCTTTTCCTGGATCCCACTGCGCGACTTAGGACGGCGCACCCCAGTTTCTCATATTAGGCACTATGTTCTAGAGGGCTCTGTCAAGATGTTAGAAAGTTGATTTTATTTCAGTTTTGTAAACACAGTTCAGTCTAGCGTTACAAAAAATTTATAAAACTGTGCATTAGAATATACTCGTGGCTTGTTCTTGAAGAGGAAATTTCAAAGTTTTATTTTGAACACATTTTGTAAAGGCGTTTTTTTTTTTGTAACAGCAAGTTACTTATGTTCTAAACCAATAGATCTCTGTAGACCTAAATTTTAAAGCATTAGACACGGGCTGCTCATGGCAAGTGTATTTCGCAAGAAATGGTCTAAAAGTTAAAAAAAAAATGTTTTACTTCACTGTTTCGTTCTTTACAGTTCTAAAAGATGGCGCAAGCTACTAAAACGCGAACGGTGCGGAGAGGGGAACAAATTCTTGCGCTCTTTTTTGCGTACGTTTTATGAGTGCGCTCCCCTCGCTTGACCTCAAGCAAGCCTTCAACCTGTTGCGTGCTGCACGTGCGCACGCAAACCCGGCAGTGCGAGTTGCCACTCTCTCGCTCTCTTTCAACTCTCCCCCACGCGCTCCTCCTTCTTGCTGATGAGAGAGGACAACTCCTCCCCGTTCTCGCGGGAACGACAAAAAGAGTATAGAATAAAGCAGTAAACACGAGAGAAGCTCCTGCAAAACTCGTGGAGGCCGAGCACTCGCTCCGAAGAAAGCCGACCGCCCCGTCGGGAGTGGTGCGTGCGTGCTGGTGGTGAAACGCGGCGGCGTGCTGCGGTTGTTGTGGTGCTGTGTGTGTCCGTGCGGCGCCGTACGTGGACGACAGCGATGGACGGCAGCGTAAGGCCGGCGACGTCGCCATGAAGTTCCTCAGCGTGCGCAAGGTGACCCAGGGCACGGCTCTGGCCGTGTCCCTGGTCGCCTTCTACGGGGCCCTACTGCTGCTCGGCTGGCCGCCGCTCGGCATCGACTGGCAGCAGCAGACGACGGCGCTCGTTGCAGACGACGCCGCTCAAGATGGCGGCGCGCACAAGAAAGCGGACGCAGGAGTCAACAAGCTTGTGTACCTCAGGGCACCGCCCGGTTTTCACCAGAGTGCTAGTCGCAGGGTATTGAAGGGGGGCAACGACGTCGACAACGAAGTGGAGGATTACGCCGACCAGCCGTCGGGCGAAGACTTTGATGCCGACAGTGTCGACGTGCGCGATAGCAACAGGTCGGCGGACCAGGGTGCTGCTGTCAGCGGTGGAGCGGCGCCCGAGGAACCGCAGCGGTCGCCCACGACGCGACTGGAGGACGTGTTTTTCAGTGTTAAGACGACGCGGACGTTTCACAGGACTAGGCTCGATGTCATACTCAAGACGTGGTTCGTCCTGGCGCGCGAACAGGTGAGCTCCTCGCTGTGTTGTGCGTGCTCCCGTTCGGGCGGCTCGCGTACGCGCCTTTTGCAGCCTGTGATGCGACTGCATTCGCGAAGACACGCTGCATGTTTTCCGATTCTGATCTGTGCGTCATACGTCCGATGTAAGCAAGATGTTCTCTCGTGAGAGGGCGCACGTTTATAACATGTACGGCAGCTTACACGGTTATTGACGTTTACTTTCTCAAACAGGGCACGCTGTATTCCAAGTGGAGATGTGCATCGGGTTTAAGTGACGTCTCTCACAAGCCTCCTAGGACATATTGACTCGGCAGTTCCGTAAACGAAGGAATAAACACACAGTGGCCTGGTGCACAATTATATCGATTATAAACAGACTACTGCAACACGTGCGATACGAGAGGGAAGACCGCCCGCATGTTTGACGGGCTTCGCGTGCACACTGCGCTAAAGAATCCCGTTAGAACTCGGTGCCACAATTGTTCAGCTGCAACGTGAGTAATGTGACCTCGTTCAACTTACAATATCGAATTCAGTTGATTTCACATGTTTTATATATATTTATTGTCAGAATAAGCAAGTAAAATCAAACGGGTGTGTGACGGACGAAACTCGATGTGTGAAGCGCAGTAGCACTAATTGACATTACCCATAGACAATCGTGTTCCACGTATTCGTCCATGTGGGCGGGAATTCAAAACTTCAAATGACATGAGCGTTTTGTCACTAAACGGAAATCGTGAAAAGGTAGCAGGTGATCGCGGGGCAAAAGGGGTTGCACGATAGCTTCAGGGAACATTTATGCCGCAGACAAGCCTGTTGCTACTGCACGAGCAGCCACGCAATTCTTTATTCGCAGCGAATGCGCGTTTTAGCCAAAAGAGACGAGGAAGGACAGCTTTTGTACTGTTTTGTCCGTGGCTGTTTGTTGCATGCGATATTCGTTGTAACCGTACATACAAAAACCGCTGCAAATAAACCTGCTACCGCGCCTATGCAATGTAATACTTGCACTGCGCCAGGGGTGCAGCCAGAAATATTTTTCGAGGGGTGGGGCAGTTGAACACCCCTTTTGCTACGCAAGCTGCGCTGACTAAAATGACGAGTACTTTAGATTGAGCGAGTTGGTGCACGATGAAAATCATGAATCTGTGACCCAACTGGCAAGGGCACGTGCAACACTTTCCGAAAAATTCCGACTGATTTCCGTTCGATGTCGCTGCGTTCGGAGCGCATGTTCCCCGGGTGGCACAATGAAGAACTTACGCCGATTTCCCGCCATACTTGGACTCGACAGCGTTGAGGGAAACGACGAAGGCATTGTAGACTCCTATAAAAGTATATATATGCTACTATATTCCCGTGTATGTCTTCACATTACAGCTTAGTTTACCGCCAAGTGCTGGGTACTTTCCACATGCTTCACTGTGGTCAAATGGAAATGCTACTTTAGTTAATATCAAAAAGGTTTCCTTAATTTATCGCCATCCTCCTGACAGAGGCACCTCGCATCGGAAGGTGGTAGACGGGGGAATGTGGCCACCACGAATATCTCCGCTGCTGGACGCTACCACAGGAGTACACTCTATTCATTATTTTTGAGAGACCTGCTAGCAAAGGGAGATTGGCATAATGGCACGCCTAGCATGTTATTGGTCCAGGTGGGTGTGGTGAAGTGCCAGTGGAGAGGGAAGTTCGGGTAGTTGGTGCACATTGCAGGATTGATTGGTGCGCATTCACTAGCGCACGAAAAAGATCCCACGAGACCAAGAAAACTGTAGTAATGTAAGGCAGTGAAATGAAATGCAACAGTGAGCGATCAATGTGAAATGCATGTAAAGCACAGAACCAACTGAAGTACGTTGCTCACTGTGCGAGCTATTAGCACCACCATTAGTCATACATCACGACAGGCCCAACAGCGCTGCAGGCGCAGACCCAGTGACTTAAATCAGGGGAGGTGGGGATGACTTTTCTCTACACGTGTGCAGTTTTGAGGAGACGCCCTCAAGTGTCCCCCTCATCGTGTCCCCTTCAAGTGTCCCCCTCATCGAAGAGCACCACCATGGAGCAGAAATGTACAACAGTGAAAGCAGCTACTTTCCGTTTCATAAGGCACTGTAGAGTACGAGCTGTCTGAAATGTTGTAGGTTACTTCTGAGTCGTGCCGCAAAAGTTCATTATCCTTGGTTTTAAAATGCTGAGTTAATGGCGATCTCTAGCCTTAATAGTTTCAATAGTTTGGTGGAAGCCACTGACGATAAAGTATGAATCCTATTTGTGGATTAAAATTATGTTATTTAAAAAAAATAGAGCACTGGTAGACACAAACATGCTCGGCAAGAAAGTTTCCAGCTGTAAATTGTGCGAGGCTGTTTTAAACAGCTGTACAAGAAGACATAGCTGATCCCCGTATATAGGAATCGGTATAACGCGAATGTCAAGCGTTTCTTTACAGAGATAGTTGAGTGTCTATTGTGTTTCAACAACAGCAACAAATTGCAAAATCATGTTAAGAACGGCAATATACATATAGCTCGAAACTTGCAGCGCACTCCTCAAGTATAAAGCACGCACGAAACTACTATACACAGGACGAGCGTGAACTGACGACTGTTACAGCTCGACACCTAAAACGCGCTGTTCAAACAGAAAGAAAGACGCACGGAACGAGCACACAAGATACACAGGACGACGGGAACAACTTTCACAATTCTTCCTGCGTCGTGCGTCAGCAGCGCTCTCCTTTCGTAAACGCGGCAGTAGTAGCAGCGTGCGCGGTGCGAATACCGAATTGCGAGTCTGATAAGCGCGTGCGCAGGAGAGCCCACGTTTCGTGGAGACGGCATTAGAGAGCTTTATAATAACGTTTGAAGGGGCTGCGGGCGTAGCCATATGAGTTTTAGAATAGCGCTTGCTCCCCCTAGGGGAAATTTTAGGGACTTTCGCCCCGATAGAACACTTCTAGTACGCTCTACCGACGGCAAACCCAAATGCACGGAAACAAATCACAGCACTTTGCGGGCAGCGATCGCCGCACGCTATTTCGGATTTTCTGCGTGCTGCCCGCGAACACGGACGGCGACTCGCGTTACGACGCGTGCACAGTGGCAGCTAACACACCGCAAGGGCTGGCGGTGCGCTATCCTTAAACTCCCAACTTAGAGCGGGCCTAACGCTAAAGTGACTTTACCCAACGCGAGTCTGTCGCGCCATCTCGCCACTGATAACAAAAACGCGATAAAGTTTTGGTGCTCTGAGGAATGCCAAACGTTTTATGGCATATATAGTTTCATACCATGTAATACTTATAATACTTATATGGTTTATCGTGTATATAAATGGCTTGTCGTTACCACACCACACAACGTATGCTCTGTGGCGTAGGGGTTAGCGTCGCACGCTGGGAATCTAGAGGTTGCTGGTTCCATTCCGCGCAACAGATGGTTGCCTTCAAGCTTTTTAAAATGCGAATCATAGCTTTGACTCACGTGTGTAATGCCGTGCGTCCGTACGAACGCGCCGCAATGCGTTCCCCGCTTTGCAGGTTTAAGGCGGCGCCAAATGGGTCACGCGGCAGCTGCGCGTTGACGTCACGCGTCCGTTGCACACTTCCCTTGCAGGATCGCGCTGACGTCACTTTCTTTCTCACCCGCAGCTGCCGGCCCCTCCGTTCGCAACGCTCGACCGCACGTCGAGTGGAAACACTTTTTCGGCAATGTTTACTCGAGTGAACCGAGTTTCGCTTCAAACCGCTCTTCGAGCACCCGCGTCAACGCCCGTTTCAACCGAGTCAACGCCATGCGCACCGCTGCTGTTTCGCATCCCATCAGGGTTTTCATCGGGGAGATATCCTTGCAATCTATTCGTAGATATTTTTCAACGTCACTTCCGTGATGGAAGTAGGTCAGTAGATCCGTGGTGGAGATGGACCCCGGCATAAACACTTTCGTGAAAAGGCGAATGGATCATAAGTTAATTAAACACTACCTTTATGCTTTTTAACAAGAAATTCATAATACTCTTATGCATTACTTCAACCCAAACGACAAAATAATCAGAAATATTCTAAAGCCTTCCGAAGTGCACTTGGAAAATGACCCTATCGACGTGCACTTTCACTGCTGTTAAATTATGCTCCGGGGTAAGGCACCGAGGCCTATGCTCATTAATTTAACGCGATAGCGTTAAAGAGCTCGTGTCGCAGAAAACCCGCCGCAAGCGTCGGCCCCGTTGGTTGTGAGCGAAAAATCATCTGTGCGTCTGTGACGGAAAAATCGAGGTACCGAGATAGCCGCGGGAGACTGCCACTTGTGCACGCGTGCGCGCGAGATCACCCTGAAAAAGCCGCCGCGCATTCGAAGAAAAAAGAAGTGGTGGTGGTGATAGTGGTTAGGAGAGGCATCTAATTTCTGCAGCCCGGACGGGAGTGCGGTGCAGTGCCTAAAAGTGCTGAAGGTCACGAGGCGTGGTAGTTTCTTTGCCCTGCCACCCCTCCCAGCTTAGCTTCCAGCGCTTTCGTTGGGACGAGAGAAGAGATAATGCAATTGCAGCATGCGACAAACCTTTGTAACTCCACTCGCACTGGACGGATTCCTAAAAAAATATTTGCGGCGTTGAATTCGTGAGCCAATAAGCTTTTTTAGTAAATTCATTCCATAGTTACTTGAAAAAGTGTTGCAGGGCCCCTTTAACGCATTTTGTTCGACAGGTGTCACGACGAAAACGAGCCCATTCGGCGATAATAGCGCGCGCTGGTACCATCTATGTATGCGTGCGTTTGTATGTAACAAAACATACAAATAAGTATGCATAGCGGTTGAAGTTCGCTATCGCGCGGCCGAATTTCGCTATCGCGTTCAACTCTTAAAGGCGAAGCGCAAGGGTCCCCAAATTTTTTGTTTCAAGTTTGTTTCAAAGCATTATTTTAATTTTTATCTGGTGAAAGATAACAACCGTGTTTGCAACACCAAAATGGTTGCCATAAAGAAATTGCGCCGAATCTAC